GGCGGGACCAGGCTCGACGTGGCGCGTGGGAACCCAGCTCCCTGCGCGGCCGAGCCGGGGGCGAGCGGCCACGCGGTGATTTATCACCGTGCCGGGCTGCCCGCGAGGGGGTCGCATTCCTTCCTCTGCCTCCCGCTGCCTTATCTCCGAGCTGGTGCTTGGCCCCACGAGGGGGGTTGAAGGAAAGCAGAGCCGAGGCAGGCAGGTTTATCCCGGAGAGTTTCGACACCGCCTAACCCTCCCTTGGGGAGCTTGTCTCTCTCCAGTGTTTTTGGCTTTGCGGTGTCTTCAATCTCTCTGCGCTCGCTGCTCACGATCCACATATTTCCCACGGCCAAATTCTCATGGTGCCCTTTTGGCTTTGGTGAGAGCAGCCGGCTGGCACTGGGGTTCACCGGGTCTGGTGCCCATTAAAAGGCTACAGGAGGGAGCTGTGTCCATCCTGGGCTGGATGGTGCTGCGCCCCTGAAGCAAAGGATACCCGAATTCCCGGGGCGTTTGGGAGCGTGAGGAGGCTGTGGGTGGCTGGCTGCGGTCCTGGCACAGTCGGGCAGGTGCTCGCACTGGCCTGGAGACTCGGAGTGCAGCCGTGCAATGTCCATTTGCTCTGTAAGAATCACTCACATACCAAGTTTCTCAGTATTTGGTGAGCATCTGCATACGTTCATCTCGCATCAACTTGAATGTCAAAGCACACAGTGACCTGTGCTTATTTAAGGGAAGATTAAAAGACAGTTGATGCTTGCTCTGCGTTTGTCCCCTGTGTGAAGTTAAGGTTGAGTATCCGGACACTGTGGCTTGTTGATGCTTCTCCAAACTGAGTGTGGCCCAGGCAGTAATGCAAGGACCAGCTCTTCCTCCCATACCTTAGGGGAAAAACCTGCCTCTGGGGCAGCGTCCCCAAGGGAGCAGCAGGATGCCGGAGGAGTGTGCTCTGTTCCTCTCTTGTGTCCGTAGCTCGACGTCCCCTTCCTCCCAGTGAAGCGTTTCCGGCTGCTCTTCCCAATGTTTTTGCCAGTCGGCTCCAGCTGCGGGTCTGGGCCGGCCGGCTTCCCGCGGGCTGGCCCTGGGCCGCCTCCGCGAGTGAGGTCGCTGCCCCGGGATGTGGCAATATCCTCGGGGCCTCTTCTACTTACGTCTCCACGAGTGCCTTTTAATCGCTGTTTGTGCTTGTAGATGAGGAACAGATTAAAATCCCAAACACTGATAGATTTTAAGGATACCATCTGGTTCTGACAGTTGCTGAGTGTTTCTGCTGGGAAAAACGAGCGCTCCCTGTCTCCGGCATCTCCGCTTTGCCTTGCAGTGCCTGTGTCAAGGCTGCTTTTTCCCCATCCCTGACAGAGTTTATGGAAGGAGATGTGTACAGGCCAGGGCACTTCAGCCTCTTCTGGGCTGAGCCACGTTGAACTCCAGGCTCCTTCATGCTCCTAGTGATCCTGGCCAGACCCACCTCCGGGTGCCCATCCAGACCACGCTGACCCACGTGAGGATTTATTGGCACTGGGGCAGCATCGCTGTGTGTCAGCAGAGGGCCTGGAGCATCGCTCGGCTCTGCCCGTGGGACGGGTGGAGGGCACGAGCAGCTGGGTCTGGCCCACTGTCCCCGTTGTGCTCCTCTGGAGCTGCAGTGAGGAGCAGGGTCTGCAGGGCAGGTTCCTCTGTACTTTCTGGTTGCAGTGGTGCTATCGTTGCCTCCTATATTAACTGGGCAAATCTTCCATGAGCTAAAGGAGGTTGTGAGCCCTCGTTGTCAGGGCTCAGAGCTACAGAAAGGGAATTTTGTTAGGGATGCAGTGATGGGTGAGCTGAGCTAGAGTGAGGTTTGTGCATGCGCAGGGGAGAGAGGAGTCTGTGACAAGAGATAACTTCTCTTTACCCAGGAGCAAGCTCAGATGTCCTCCTTGCCATGGGTTGGGCAGCCAGGCAGCTGCAAGGACGCTTGTGGGAGCATCGCGCAGCACGGCGCGTACACGTGGTGGCTGCCTTGGCCGTTCGGAAGGGGCCAGGGACGTCTGTAGTATCAGCCGAAAGCAAGAGGAAATTTCCAGCCTTCCTGGCTGTGGAGCTAATCTGGGGCAGAGGAAGTCCGTGCCAGACTAGAAAACAAAAGAGTTGGTAAAAATAGCCTGGCAATAGTGCGTGTTAGTAGAAACCCTTGATTTTGAAGCCAGTTGCTGGGCCTGGATGCTTGATTCTCACCTGCAACCTGTGCCAAGCCTCTGAGATCTCTCTCTTCCCAGTCCCAGCTCTGCAGGGATTGAAGGAGATGCCGCTTTCTCAGCAAACACATGCGTTTTTTTTCCCCCCTCTCTTTTGCTCTGTCTTTCAGCAGTAGTCTCTACTGCTGCTACTAAAAACCCTTTCTAGAGCTGCCTGTAATGTATTTAATGCTCCTCCCCCTCGGGGTATCCTGTATCTGTGGCCTGTGCGATGTCACCTGGCTCTCGCTGGACTGCAGGGACCAGTGAAATCCGAGTTTTCCCTTGAAATCCAGGGAGGGGAAGGAAGGAAGCTGCAGGTGATAAGGCGATCGGATTGCCCTGCCAGTCTGGGCTTGCCCAGCTACGAACCATTGCAGATGTGTGTTTGCAGCGAGGCCCCTCAGCGGTAGCTGTGCTTGTGGTCTGCCAGGCCGAGGGGAGTCTGCCTCCTTGTGCTTCTTTGTCCGCTCCATGCTGAGGTGTCCGTGAGGGCACGTGGACGGGGCGCTGTGGGACGGGTGCCTCTGGGAGGAGAGGTGGCCTCCATCCTCCTCCAAGGGTCTCCTAGGAGAGCTCTGCCCCGGCGATGGGATTCAGGCCTGCCCGTATGGACACAGTCGCTTTGTCTTTAGTCTCTGGGCAGCAAGATAGAGGTGATGTCGCGGTCTTCATAGAGCAGCCCTGAAGCAAACAGAAACACTAGCAAAAACCTCCACAAGCCGTAGCTTCCTCCTTCGGTCGCGTTCCTCTTAGCAGCTTTATTGGGAAGTTCCCTACTTTGAGAGGAGCCTTAACCCACTCCCTCCTCTGAATGTAGCCCCTTGCTTCCCTGGCTGCCTTCTTCCCTGCTTGGACTCGCTATGGGCCCATGTCCGTGGGGTGTTGGTCTAGCTAGGAGAGGTCCCTGGTGTAAGTTGGGACGGGTCAGGATGCTGTGGTGGTCTCGTTTCCCCCCTCATGCTCACACACACAGGTTGATCATGCCATGGGTGGAGGTGTGAGGTCCGCAAGAGTGCTTGGGATTCGCATCCTCCTTTCTAGTTACCTGGTGTAAAGTAACACAGGATGCTCATGTGCCGAGTGACTGTGCAGTGGCAAGTTCTGGTTTGGGAGTGGGAAAAACTGGAAATACTTTTAAAATATGTATTTATATTTAGCTCTCTAAGGGAGTATGTTTTTTAAAAAGGACTGTTAACATCTTGCAAAGCCAAAGAGCTTTGGAATTTGGACTTCTTAGGTGTGGGTGTGCAAGGACTGGACATGCCTGGGGCCTGGTCTCTGCAATGGTGTGTTATGAAGGCAGAGCTTAAACGAACCTGGCGTTGCAAATCCTGTCACTAACAGTGCTGCAATTGCACAGAAAGCTGTGCAGGAGATGCAGAGCCCGTGTGCTCATCTCCATGCGTTTCCTCCTGGACATGCTTTGCTCGAGTCTGCAGCTCCCTCTGCTGTCTCTGCCTCCTCTTGGCCTTTGCGCTACTGCTTGTAGTGCCATTTCCCAAATTCTCGTCCTCCTTCCCCGTTGGCAGATGCGCAGCGGTGCTGGGTGCTCATGTGCCAAGGAATTCTGCAGGCTGTTGTTGGCTCCAGTTGCCATCGTTGTCGTCCTTGCGTGGGATCAGGCCTGGGCACCGTGCGTTGGTCTCTCCCTGGGCGCTCTCCTTCCCGTGTGGCTTCAGCCACGAGAGGGCACCCGCAGGCCTGGCGGAGCCGTCCCTGTCCCTGGCTGGTTGTCACTGGCACCGATCTGCTGCCTTCTGCTCTTAGCCGGAGCTCACAGGGCTGGGCTTGCGCTCACCAGCCTCTTGAGCACCAGGGCTTCACATACCATCCAGGCAGCTCCAAAGTTGACCAGCTGGGACGGCTCCAGCCACCTTCCCCATGTCCCCAGAGAGAACAGGAGCCTCAGCCTGCAGGATTTCCTGAGCTCATCCTCTCCATCCCAGGCCAGACCAGAGTGCTGTGCGGAGCCTCATCTCCTGGCAGGCTCTTCTCGGCACCCGGGAATGCCCTGCTTTCCCATGCCATCCTCAGAGTGCCCCGAGCTCTCCGTGGTGTGAGTTTGAATAAACCCAGTGTCCTGCAGGACACCTGCCTGTTCAAAACCAAATATTTTCTTGACCAGGTTTGTTCCTGGTCCACCACAAACACAAGCTCTTGGTGCACTAGGGCACATGTAACTGGGTCATTTCAAACCCACTCACTTGACTCTGTGTCCGGGCATTCCCTGGGGCAGTTATTGTTTAACCACTGATAGGAAGCTGCAGTTTTGAAACCAGTGGGATGAGCTTTTCTCTTTGCTTTTTTACCTTTTCCTCCTTTTGAAGTATCGGGTTTTATTTTCCCCCCATTGATTTCAAAATAGAGGCCTGGGTGCTGGTGACATTGGCCATATTACTAGACTTCCCTAAGCTGAATCTCAAGGCTTCCTCGTTCCTCATCTGCCTTGGTGTTCAAGGCTGACAACTCATTTTGACCATGAATAGTCCCAATTCCATGGGAAAACCTGGGGAGAGGCGGCAATTTGTGCACCGCTTGCTGTGCTGAGGGAGGACATTTGTCCTTCACGCCAGCTCCTGATGCCAAAGTCACAGGGCACATCCCTTGAGTAGGCTGGAGGGAGAAGCCATCAGGGTTTATCTTGGGCTCTTCTCCATCTGGGCCACAGGCCAACTTTGTCCATCCTTCTCGGTGAGCGCACAGGGATTTTAGTTCTGCGTCTGGAAGTGGCCCAGCCAGCACCTGGTGAGGGAGGTGGGTGCTGCTTGGTGCTTGTGAATGCTGTTCTTGCAGAGCGCAGAGGGCTTTTGCAGTCCATGGTGTCTGAGAAAAGACCAAACCCGGGCAGAGCAGATCTGGTTAATGCCCCTTTTCTGGGGCAGCGCGGGGGGAAGGCTGACCTGCCCTCTGGGTTAAGCCAGCTGCCACAGCCAATGCTGAGAAGTGGTGGGAAGATGGAGAGCGAGTATTCAGGAGGGAATTGGGGACAGACCAAGGGTCTGATTTGTCTTGTGAAAAGATGGGGGTTTGGGAAATTTTATGGAGCATCCTCCTGAACGTGCAGAGTACCTTTTTAGAGCATAGGACATCTCATTTCTTCTGCTCCAGCAGCAGGTGAGCTGTAGCAGCCATGCTGTGGCTTCAGGATGTTTGGCAGTATGCGGGTCCTCTAGAAATGCTACTTCCGCTGGCCCTTCCCTGCCCCTAACCGGACACTTGGTTAGTATCAGGGTGGCGCCAGGACAGGGCACTGGGGCATCCTCTGAGCCTCTTGGCTCCTGAGGTTTGCTTGGCACCTCCAGGGTCCTCCTACTGAGAATCTTTGAACCCTGTTGGTCCTGGATCGCTTCAGAGAGAAAGAAAAGAGAGAAAGAAAGGCACTAGCGGCGCGTGTCCTAGGAGGGTTTGAGCGTGGTGCGCGCTGCTGGCGCGCGCTCTCTTGGAGCAGGCTATCCCGCTGTGCCCGGAATGCAGCCCGGAGGGAGGCTCTTTCCTTTGGAGCGGGGCAGACAAGGCCGGGCGCCGGGCTGCTCGGCGGGCTCCGCCGCGGCCCGGGGCGAGCACAGCCCCATGGCGCGTGCCCACGGAGCAGCGGCCAGGAGAGCTCCAGCTGTTTTGCCTCTCGTTGTTTCGGGCATTCTTCCAAGACGGACGTCGGTGTCGGACCTGGGGGATGCCTGAGCGGCGGCTTCCCGACCCTGGGCACTGCGGTCAGGCCGCACCGAGGTGGGCAGTGAGAGGAAGCTCATTGACTTAATGAGGGCCTGCAGTGACGGGCCCGGCGCGCGCAGCCCCCCCCCCACCGCCCTCCGCTCCCTTCCGCACCAGCTCCTGGCCCCGCGCGTGATGTGCTGCCTAATCGCAGCAGAAGGGAAACTTTTTTTCCTTACTCTTCTCTATATTCATTTTTTTGATTTTCTATTTTCGATTTTACACTTTATTTTTTCAATTCTCCATTTTTTCTGTTTTTTATTTTCAAACTCATTGATTGAATTAATCAAAAATTTTCGATTTTTTTTTGTATTTTGACTCTTCTGTTTGTTAATTTTATGATTTTTTTACATATACATGTTCTTTTACCAGCTCAGCATTGCGCTTTCATGCACTCGGTGTGCCCCAGTGCGGTGCCCACCCCCCTGCACCGACACGCTCCCGGGTGACGTCGGGAGGCTTGTTGGGGCTCGCGTGCTCCCTCCCACGCGCTGCTCCGCTGCGAGAGCAGCACGAGTCGGGGGACGATGCCCCGTGTCCCTCAATGGGGTCGGGATGGCATTGCCCGCTACTGTTATCCGGGCTCTGTAGCAGTCTCCTCCCTCTGCCAACATTGGGGAACCCACTGGTGCCAGCCATGGGAATCGCCACCCCGGGATCCTCCCCAGACCCCGGCGGCATTCCGGGCGCGGAGGGGGGCAGCATTCCTTGGCGGCGCCTTCAAGGGCCGCTTTGTGGCCAAAAATGAATCCATCCATTGTCGGGACAGCTTGAAGGACTGCTTCTTTGCCTTGCTCGGCGCCAGGGCTTTTCCTTCGTGTCCCCCCCGTATCCCTGCCAACCGCCCCTGCACTTGGCCAGGGCAGAAATGCTGCCAAATTGCACTTTTCTGGCTTTGCTGTCCGCCAGCCTGTGGTGAGGTAGGGGAAGAGCATCTCAGCTGCGCTGAAATGTGGTCGCCTTGGTGGTACTGGGGATGGGAGGTCTCCCCCTCCTCACCACGGTGCCCATGGAGCTCGGTGAGTCACAGATGTGCTCTTGGGGATGTGCTTTAGAGCTCAGCCCATCAACCTCGAGCTGCTCGAGGTACCTCGCTCTTTCTAAGGCTCTCATCCAGCAACAGCTGGAGATCTCCTTTAACTTGCATGACTGGGCTCTGCAAAACCACCCAGCTGTGAGCGTTCAGGGCAGCAGCGGCCGCAGGTCGCCCTGACTCACCAGCATGAGGAATCAATTTGGGTTCTGTCTAGGGGAAAAAAGCTTCGCTTTCCATCCATCCAGATGGCCTGGGAACAGGCCTGTCAAATGCTGTCCCCATCGTTGTCCTCAACTTCCCTAGCCTCCTGGTCAGGCCACAGCGGCTGGTGACATCTGGGGTGGTGACTCTCACTGAGAAACACCCCAGTGACCCTGTGGTACTTGGCTGGACACCACATACCCCGTGGGGCAGCAGTGCTTCTGCAGAGCTCCTTGGTGGAGCAGGTTTCATGGTACCCCCCCAGCTCTTTTGGCCCGTGTGCCTGGGAGCAAAGGCGATCTGCTCTTTTGGCAGGGCTGCTTCAGGTGAAGGGTTTTTGTCAGTATTTCCCCCTCAACACTTTTCATGTTGCAAGAGATGGGCTGCAAGGAGAAACCATCCAGAACATGTCCTTGAGCAGGGAACCGCGTTCGGGTCCTGGTGTTCCTCCTCCGGCGGGGGGAAGGCGGCAGGGCCCCTTGCGGACGGGCTGCTTGGCACGGATGGGGTTACGGGGAGCGGCCCGTGCCTGGAGGAGCAGCCTGGCCGGGGTGGAGAGCGGAGCAGGGGGCCTGTCCCGACAGGAGGAGGCAGGTCCGTGAGGCAACACGCAGAGCTACCCGCGAGCTGCTCCCCGCGTGGCAGGGCCGGCCCGGTGGATGGTGCTGGGAAGAGGAAGCCTCTGCGTTGTCCACAAGCAAATTCCCGAATGGCGTTGTGTCACCTGGGAGCTATTTTTAAGAAGAAAGAAGTTTTCTTCTGGTCTCGATGGCAGGAAAGAAGCTTCGGGCCTTGGACTTTCTCACGCTTTGTGCAGC